ATAAAAACTAAATGTGTCCAAACTGATTTTGAAACATAATAATAACAACAATAACAAGTAATATTATATATATATATTTATCTATAGTAATAAAAGAGCTAAAAAGATGTGACTACACACTTGTCTAAAGACTCTCTTAAGGAAATAATTAAGTTTTTATTTATAAATTCTATGGTTTATTCAACTTAGTTTTAGTTTTAGTTATATTTGTTATTTTCTTTTTATTTATTTTATATTAATTTAATTATATTTTTGCTTTACGATTTAATATTAAATTATATAATCAAGTGATATATATTTATTAATAAAATAATATAATAATGAATATAATAAATAAATAACAATTATTTTTATTTCGAAATTGACGTGTCACGTGATTTGGCGAATTTCAATTAGGATAAAATTAATTGTTTAGATATATAATATAGTATTAAATAAATATTATAATGTTTCGTTTATTTACTTATTATACATGCAATATTTTAAAAGTCTTAATACATTTGATGTTGATATAGCGCACAGCATATAATAGCCGGGTGACATGTAACTCAAAAAATACAGTTAATATTTCCGGTTGTGATCTTTCCTCTGATATATTGGTGTCTCTGATGGACCGTGATAAAGAGATGAAAGATCTTTTTATTTGTAATCAAGAATATTTTGATTTGGTCAAACAAAGTATTTTCGGGGCATCCGAAGAAGGTTGGCAACAGTTCCTCGAGATTCTTTATGCTCCTCGACGTGTCCTTTCAGATTCTGAATGGATATCTACCATATCGGAGGTATTGGATCCGAATCCTCATCTTTTGGCTAAATTCAAAGAAATTGTTGGATACTGTGAAGTCGATGACGACAACGAGAGCATTGGCAACATAGAAGAAGAAGAAGAGGAAGAAGATTATTTTAACTTTTCTTATTCGTCCTCTTCTTCTTCTCATAATTCTTATATTGTTGGCGATGTCAACTTTGGAAAAAGTTTTTTAGATGTCTGTATGATTAGAGATTATCCAAAAATTTTAGAAAACCTTGAAACCTCATATCCACAGTTCTTTGTTAATGTCAATCAATTCTTGAGTCAACAAGCCGAATATAGAGGAAGTGCATTAGGTGGAAACCATCTATCTCAGGCGCGACAATCAGTTCGTGTCAGTAGTGGTGGCATTTTTCAAGAAGGAAATAATAATAATAACGATAGTGAATTGTCGTCTTTATGGAAGAGATGCTCGCCGACGATATCGTTGCCGCTGAAACAAACGAATCCACCGTCGAAGACCCCAACGCTTTATGATGAATTTAAATCCGTATTATTGTCTTCACGAAGTGAATTGTCTGATGAGGAATGGGAAATGGCTATTTATGAATATCTGGACCCTTGGCCACAACTTGCCGCTCAATTCGAAGAAATTATCTCCTATGAAATTGGCGAAGATTAATTCTTGATTGTTGCATATTTCTATATTGTATAGCTGTACAGAAATTCATAACCCAATTTTGCATTTATATAAACCTCCCAAAAGTATTATCTTAAAATCTGAAAAGTTATATCTTTAAGGCATATTCTGCTTTATAGAAAAAAATTATTATGAGTTAAAAGAAAATAATATAAATAGTATGCATTTTTTAATCTTAAAAAAAAATTTTTTTTTGTAAAATTTTATTAACATTAGTAGTTATCGCACATGATAGTTAAATGCAAAAAGTAAATCAACTTTATTTAAATGTCATGATAAATCTAACAAAAAGGGTGACCAAAATAATATGTACATAAAGAAAGCGATAATATAACAAGACAAGCAACACCGTTAAAATCAAAAAAGTGAAGAAATTGATCGGTTTCTTCCCCGTGCCGGTACTACGTCAATTGTTAAATCAATTTTTGATTTCAATAATGGTTTTATAGAGTTCGCATAGTCATAAAAAACCTGGTGAACTTTGCTCCATTGTTTTTTCATGGCTGTACTCTTCATCCGCGTCATACGGAAGACAATATTGTCCGCATCATCAGCATATTTATCTATAACCTTCGTAATATCTTCGACTTCTAATTTAAAAAACTCATCGAAACAACTAAATTTATCAATTATTACTATAAGTTCAGTCATCACAATATTGATGTTTTCTATAATTTGACCAACTTGTTTAAGTTCGATCTCATGACGATCTCCAGTAACAGTTGTACCCACAACGTTAATCAAGTTATTTATGTTCGAGGCCGCAAGGTTAACTCCGGTCAATATACTGTTGCCCATAGTTGCCCAAGGACTGACTGGCACTTCTCCTTGGATTTCTGGAACCTCTCTTTCAAATTTCTTTTCAGATCTCTTTTCCGTGTTGTTACGAACGATACAATCTTCAAGCTCATTTATTATGTTTTTTAGAGTAGCCAACATATCACAATATCCTTTTGTC